TATATATATATATATATATATATATATATATATATATATATATATATATATATATATATATATATATATATGTAATACCATAAAAATTGAAGAATGTATGATAAGGTAATTAATAAATTACAATTCTTAACTGGCTTCTAAACTTTCTTAATATGGATATCGATATAGTTATATTTTATATAGTCTAAGTGCATGACACCCCACAATAAAGCACAAAACTTTATAATGTTATTCTGGAAATTAATGCGAATAAAAAATCCTAATAACAAATATAATATCGTAATTTTATAAAATATATTTCTTTTTTTGCTATTTCTAATAATCTATATATTTTTATAGGTATATGCTTTCAGTTATAATCCCGATGAATCATATTCCACTAGATATTAACTATTAAATATGATTTTTTTATATATTATTCTATAAAATTATATAAAAATATCCTACGACAAATGTAATATTAGACAAAGAAAGTTATTAAAATAAATTTATTTCACAATATTTTATATTCTAAATGGGAAATGTTTTGGAAAGACGTTATACTATTAAATGTATTCTTTCCCAAGCGGAATCTTTCTCGAATTTTATCTAGTGATTAAAATATATATGGAAAAACTTCTAGAGTGAAAATCGCATTAAACATTGCGTATTTCATCACGATCCGTGTGTTCTCCCGTAACGTAACTATTGTTCAGCAAGCGTGTGTGTTATTTAATAAAAATATTCAGCATTCATTTATTAACGTTGACAACGAATGAAAATATTAATAATAGATTGCATTACTATTTTAAAATAAAACGAAGATTTCGTCATATATTTTAAAATAAAAAATATATTTTTATGCGAGTAATGTAATTAATTTCCTCACGTAAATATGTCATAGTAGAATGCATGTATATGTGTATTTTTGGCAATATTTCTGCATCCAAAGAAAATTTAACATATGTTATTAAAATATTAGGCAATGGTTTCGCGACATTGCAAATATTATAATATTTGCAATGTCGCGAAACCATTGCCTAATATTTTAATAACATATGTTATTAAAATATTAGGCAATGGTTTCGCGACATTGCAAATATTATAATATTTGCAATGTCGCGAAACCATTGCCTAATATTTTAATAACATATGTTATTAAAATATTAGGCAATGGTTTCGCGACATTGCAAATATTATAATATTTGCAATGTCGCGAAACCATTGCCTAATATTTTAATAACATATGTTATTAAAATATTAGGCAATGGTTTCGCGACATTGCAAATATTATAATATTTGCAATGTCGCGAAACCATTGCCTAATATTTTAATAACATATGTTATTAAAATATTAGGCAATGGTTTCGCGACATTGCAAATATTATAATATTTGCAATGTCGCGAAACCATTGCCTAATATTTTAATAACATATGTTATTAAAATATTAGGCAATGGTTTCGCGACATTGCAAATATTATAATATTTGCAATGTCGCGAAACCATTGCCTAATATTTTAATAACATATGTTATTAAAATATTAGGCAATGGTTTCGCGACATTGCAAATATTATAATATTTCAACTTTCTTCGATATTTTTAACTTTCTCTAGTAATTATGTAAATTATGTACACGAAAGGGTAGACTAAGGATTTTGAACGAAGGCACGTATCAAAGCAATTCTTATGTACCTATTATTCGAATATTTTGTTTATATTTACTGAGGTTTATGTATTACTGAGGTTTATGTAGAATTTCTAAAAACCATATATTTAAACTGGTTCTTCTATAATATTATAATTATAATACATTAAAATGTCATTTTAACAACTTTCTATGCATCCAACGTATTCGTTTATTATTACCAGTATTCTTTAAGTTAAAACAATATCAAGTATAATGTCTACAGATAAACATAAAACGTATTTTACAATAGACATGTTTTGTTTTGCTTTTTATTCCTAAATGTATGTACATGAGTGTGTGCACATCATATGTGATACAATTGTAGAAGTGTGATATTTAATGCGTAAAGTAGATATTCGGTCATATTTAGCACGAAATTACACAGCTGATTTTCAGTCAAAACGAGGCGATTTGTCACATTTATTTATCGGTTATATATTAATTATTTCAGTGAAAAAAAATGTATCCGGAACATTTTATAAGTATGTAGAACAAATTGCAAGAATTATTTCAATGATATATCTTTTTATTTAGCCGTTCGCAGGAATTTTGGACATGGTTTTCCTCGCTTCTGACGTCATCAATCCAATATGGCCACAGTGACTGATGAGAAAACTTAAAGAAAAGTTCTATAAACAAGATATTGAAAATGTTTTACTATTAAAATTAAAAATTGTACAATTATTTAGAACATTAAAAACTGGAAATACACTGGAACCATTAATCTACTTTAACTCGTCAAGTAGAACTATATATGCGGCGATGAGGAGAAGAATTTTAACAATTATACCACAAATTACTTCACATTCTACATATATATATATATATATATATATATATATATATATACTCCATAAATGTATGTACCGGGTGTGTCAGTAACTATTGCTATTAGGAATATCTTCGAAACAAAGCTGGCTTTCAAATCTTTGAAGTTAGTGTATTTAAAAAAAAAAATGTCTTATGATGATAATGTTTTTTCTAAGTAGGATAACTTCGCAGACCTCCCTCCTCTCTCTCTCTCTCCCCCCCCCCCC